TTCATAAGCTACCTCCGGTTGCTTACGCTGACAGTTGCACATTGGTCCACTATGGCGACGATGTGAATCCAGGGTCTTACTCTTATGAAGCAGAAGGCACCGCTCTGAACATTCGCGAAATAACTGGGTCAGCACATTCTAGAATCATCCAGTGCCTGAAGTCCACCAAACCCCAAAGTCCACCAAACCCCAAGCAGGCTTTGACCAGGACATGACATGGTTTGAGGAATTGGCGGATGCACCGATGCTGGATGGAACTGCGAGAGAAGCGTCAGAAGCCGAACCACCAGGATGATGGACGGCTTCCTACGGTTTATGAGGAATCGGAGGCTGATCTCGAGTCACGCGTCATGGAAGTGTGGTATGCAGAACTACAAGATGAAAAAGAGCTGTTGGAGGCAACTCCACTAGAGGATCTTTTCACGATGCCCGCACACATGGTTTCAGACCTTTGCTGCCCTTTGTACATAGTAGCTGCTGTGCTTGCTGTATAAAAGGCGGCGGACACACGCCTCGTCTCCCTCCCCCCCGACTCGAAAGTGAGCTGGGGACACAGGTGAGCGGAAGCGAACGTGTGCCCGCGGCTGCTTGGCTCAAGCGGCCGGCCGCCCAGATCTGACTACACCTCAGCGCGAGGTGTACTATTTGCCATCGATACCAAAATACTGCTTGAGATGGCTCCCCCTTTCCTACCGGGACTATCGTTACTACGGTACAACAGAGCTGGAACTTGGCTTCGCCTAAGGCGAAGCTGTTTGTTGGGTCTCCCAACCCCTTTCAAACTTTTCGGCCGTATTGGAGGCCTCTTGGGCCGTCTGGGGCCATGTTGAGGCTATCTTAGGCCGTGTTGAGTGCATCTTGGCTCGTCTTGGAGGCATCTCGGAGCCATCTTAGCCGTCTTGGAAGCCATTTTGGCCGTCTTGGATGCATCTTGGAGACCAGCTTGGGCCGTCTTGGAGCCGTCTGGAGCAGGAAAAGCCTTTGCAACAGGGTTTTCGGCAATCTCCTGGGACCCCGGCGGGACGGGCCGAAACCCCAGGGGGGAGTTCTTTTGGAAAAAGAACCAAAAGCAAAACCGAGGTCTAGCACGCCAGGCGCCCCTGCGATGAATCGACAGGGGGCGGCGGATCCAATGGCAATCGGCCCATCCCGCCACCGTGCCTGGGTTGTGGGTTAAGAGTCCTCACGGATGCTTATTGGGTTTTTTGTCGGAACGCTCTCGGAGGCCTTTTGGGGGCATCTTTGGGCCTCCTGGAAGCCTCTTTGGGGCCTCTTGGGAACCTCTGGGGGGCCTCTTGGGGCTTCCTGGGGGGCCTCTTTGGCCTCTTGGGGGCCTGTCGGGGCCGAGGGCTCGAAATGTCCATTCGGGTCCCCCGTCCGGCCCCCTCTTGGAGCTATCTTTGGGGTCTCCTGGGCTGTTTTGGGCGCCTTTCAGTCGTTTGGGGCCTTCTTGGAGGCCTCTTGGGCCGTCTTTGGGCGGTCTTTGGGGCCTCTTGGACCGTCTTGGAGCGTCGGGACGCCGAAAAGGCGAGAACGCCAACGTCTTTCAACAATCGCAGGAACATCAATGATTTTTGCCTCGTGGGGTCCTGCTGGGAGGCCAGCCCAGGGGGGAAATGAAAGGGGGCGGGCCTTCTTTCAGGAGGCTCGGAAGTCCCCCTGCCTCTGGAGAAGTTCTTTAACTACACTTTCCTTGAGTGCACAACAGCTTCTCAGAAGGCCGGAGGGCTTCTGAGAAGCCTCGCAGCCTTCTGAGAGGATCTTCTCCTCCTCACTTTCCCCCCCTCGCTCGCCGCCGAGTCTTGAGCCATCTTGGGCCGTCTTGACGCCATCTTGGGCGTCTTGGAGCAATCTCTCGGCGACTCGGGCCCTCTTGGACCGTCTTGGGGGCCTCTTGGGACCTCTTGTCCCGTCTTGGGGTCCTCTTGTGCCCGAACAAATCATGCGAGAAGGCACGACGCGCCCCTGAAGATTTGGCACTTCTAGACGAAACGCGTAGCACCACAATCCCATGTTAGACACGATGCCCGGACGAGTTGCCCTGATCAGGGATGTGGAGAAGCATGCGGTGGAAAGAAGGTTTGGGTAAGACGTCATACTCCAAGCTGGGAGCAGAGAGAGGGATCGGGGAGGAGGGAGGAGGAAAAGGAGGAGGAGATGGAGGAGGAGGAGGAGGAGGAGAAGGCCGAGGCCTCTTGGATGCCTCTCGAAGTCTTTTCGGATGTCCTTCGAGAGCTTCTTCGAATCCTCTTGGGGCGTCTTGGGGGTCGTCTCTTGGCAGTCCCGAGGGCCTCTTGGGGCGTCTCTCTGGGGGGCCTCTTGGGGCTTCGTGTGGGTCTTATTGCAGCCTCTTGGGAGCATCTTGGGGGCCTCTTCGGGGCCTCATGGGGCCTCGTGGGCACCTCTTGGGGCCGTCTTGGGGCACCCTTGCATCTCAGGGCCATCTTGGAGGAGATCGATCAAAGAAGGGGGGCTTCTTTATACTAGGCCCCCCCAGGAGGCCAACATGTTTCCACCCCCCTCGTAAAATTAATGACTCTGGCATTCTGGCCTCATGGGGCTTCGTAGGAGTCTCTTGGGAGCCTCTTGTGGGCATCTTGGGGGCCTCTCGGGGCCTCTTGGGGCCTCCTGGGCACCTATTGGCGCCGTCTTGGGGCACCCTTTTGTGTGGAGCCTCGGAGGCCATCTTGGGGCCATGTTGGAGGAGATGAATCAAAGGACAGGAGGCCAACATGCTTCCAAACCCTAAGTAACATCAGCGAGTTTGGCCTTCTCGCCGAGGCCTCTTGGGGCGTCTTGGGTGCCTCTGGGTGGCCTCTTGGGGCCTCTTGGGTCTCTTGGGAGCCTCTTGGGGGCACCTTGGGGGCCTCTTGGTACCTCTTGGGGCCGTCTTGGGGCACCCTTGGGAGCCTCGGAGGCCATCTCAGGGCCATCTTTGGAGGAGATCGATCAAAGAAGGGGCCGTAGTACATTAGGGTCCCTCCCCTTTGGAGGTCAAACTGTGGCCACGCCCTTAGTCGAATCAATGATTTTGGCCTTCTCGTCGAACCAACACAGGCTGTCTAACTACCCGCGACCCCCCCTCCAGACCCAGGGGGAGGGGGTATGGGGGATGGGTCAAGCTACCCACCCGTCCACAAGCCGTCTAGCTCATTCCCACCCGCCTCCCAACACATAAGTACCACCCGAGCCTGAGCATGTTCAGCGGTCGTCTTTGGATGGGCAGCTACTGGGTACCAAAGCCGACCCCATGTGCGCGACTCTGGGGCGAGGTGCGCCACGCGTGCCAGGCGCGCCACGCGCGCCAGGCACCCCTAGGGCCCGAGCGTGCCAGGCACGCCTGGTGCGCCAGATACGTCACGTGCTCTGCGTGCGCCAGGTGTGCCGCACACTCCAGCCGCGCCAGGCGCGCCATGTTCGGGACACGTGCAGAGTGCGTCAGGTGCGCCTGTGCACGTGACAGCACACATCGGGAAACATGTGCCCCCGTCATTCTTGTCGAAAAGTCATGCCCATCATTGTGTCCGGTGGGCCTGCGCACAGCAGGCCACGCGCCACCCCGCCGTCCCTGTCAAAAACCACTTGACAGTGATCGCGGGATGGCCGTGCATGATCCGGATTTAGCCGCGAGGTGCATGTTTTTTTTGTTGTCATGGATGGTAGCCCTGCGCACAGCAGGGAATATGCTGGCCCCCCCGCCGCCCCTGTCAAACATAATACAAAGTGTTCGCGGGCCTCACGAACACGACTCAAGATTTTGCCCCATATTGTACTTTGCATGGGTTTTGACAGGGATGGTGGGGGGGGCCGCATCGAGTTGGCCGCGCATGCTCCAAATGTGGAGGCAGAGTGCGGTTTGTATTGAAAATTGACGGGAATGGTGGGGGCGGTCTTGCATGGAGTCGGCATGGTTTCTGGTTGGCCGCCTGCTGGGTGGGGGAGGGAGTGTATATTAATAAGGAACAGTGATCAAGACACCCCCTAGATAGCAAGCCGTCTAGCTCACTCCCACCCGCCCTCCCAACACAGAAGTACCACCCGAGCCTCAGCATGTTCAGTGGCCGTCTTTGGATGGGCAGCTACTAGGAACCAAAACCGACCCCATGTGCGCGACTCTTGGGCGAGGTGCGCCACGCGTGCCAGGCGCGCCACGCGCGCCAGGCACCCCTAGGGCCCGAGCGTGCCAGGCACGCCTGGTGCGCCAGATGCGGCACGTGCTCTGCGTGCGCCAGGTGTGCCGCACACTCCAGCCGCGCCAGGTGCGCCACTTTCGGGTCACGTGCAGAGTGCGTCAGGTGCGCCTGCGCACATGTCAGCACACATCGGGGAACATGTCGGCCCCCATCATCCTTGGCGAACGTAGTGGCCATCATTGTGTCTGGTGGGCCTGCACACAGCAGGCCATACGCCGCCACCCCCGCCGTCCCTGTCAAAAACCACTTGACAGTGATTGCGGGGTGGCCGCGCATGATCCATATTTAGCCGCGAGGTGCATTTTGTACTGTTTTTTGTTAGGGATGGTAGCCCTGCGCACAGCACGCAGTATGCTGACACCCCCGCCGTCCCTGTCCAAAACAATACAACGTGCTCGCGGGCCTCACGAACATGACTCAAGACTTTGCCCCCAGGGGTATTTGGTATTTGGTTTTTGTAGACATGGATGGTGGGGCGGGGCCGCATCGGGTTGGCCGCGCATGCTCCACATGTGGAGGCAGAGTGCGTTTGATATTGTTTTTTGACAGGGATGGTGGTGTGTGTGTGTGTGTGTGAGCATAGTTCCTGGTTGGCTGCCAGTCGCCTGGGGAAGTAATAGGGAACAGTAATAAACCCCTCCCCGAAGAGGACAGGGGGAAGATGGAAGATGAAGCTCGTTCAACCACTCACGCCCAGAGGGCTGGTGAGATTTTGGGTCCGGGCCCCCTAAGGAATCTTTAGGATTGAGGACTGAGGCTTAAGGGATTAGGCCAAGAGCCTGAGGACACTCCAATTTCTGCCTCAAGGGCACGGTGGCGATGTGGTGTTAGTTTCTGGCTCTCCCTGGGGCGAGAAACAGCACGAGCGACATAGAGTCGTAAGCTAAGCAATAACAGCTCTACAAGACAGAGCAACATGCATGCGGCATGATAATGGAGATCGGTATGGATCGTTTGGAGATAGCTCGCAGACGAGCTATCGTCTAGTCTCACTGGGCAGACCGCATTGCTCCCGTCTCTAGCAACTGCACGCTGCGTGGCCGTCTCCAGAAATCCCCCCCTCGTACGCCAGCGAGGAGTTGACCATACTGGAGAAGGCGTTTCAGCAGTTTGCGAAGGCCATCGAGGCATTCTAAGCAGGCTGTTTAAGCCATTCAGGTCTGTGCTTGCACTGAGTAGTCCTATTCGCCTCCTGAGGAAGTGTTCCTGCACGCTGGGATTCTGGTGGTTGCCACGCACGCCAAACGCTGTAAGTGTGGTGGCGGACGAACCTGTTCGGTGCTCGCGCGCCAGTCTGAATTGTTTCATCACCTATCTGCCACTGTTATTCCAGCATGGGCCCAATATTCTATTTGTTGTGCAACTGATGGGGTGAAACATGTGTGGTGCAATCTGTACTATGCAATACGCGTGGGCAGTGACACTACAGTGTACATGAAAAGCATACGTGCAAAACACATGCAGTACACTTGAAATGTGAACTCGATAGGGGTCTATAGGTGGGCTCCATGGCACCCGCACGTCCCAGCGACGCACATGACCCCATTGGCGGCACCCAATCGGCGGGACCCTGTGGCACCCAAGCGTCCAGGGACGCAAGGGATCCTGAGGGCTGGGGGCCTGTGGTAACCTGCGGGCGGGACCGCAGGCACTCAAGAGTTCGACGGGGTGCAAGGGTCCCCCAGTGCGGGGCCAAGTGGGACCCTGTCGGCGAGACCCTGTGACACTCCAAACTTCGTTGGGGCGCAATGGGCCCTGTGAGAATGATGTGCACAATTATTGCAAAATTTGTGCAACGGCAACCCAAATGCAACACACCCGATCTCATTACGTACGCACTCGGATCCTACAGGCTGGACCCTGTGGAACTCATAACAATCCCTGGGGCGCAACGGACCCTATCGGTCGTGATCCTATGGGGCGATATCTGCGGGACCCTGTTGTACCCAAAACTCCCCAGGGCGCAATGCACCCAGCGGGTGGGATCTTGTGGGACCCTGTCGGTGGGACCCTAGGTCATCCAAAAGTTCGTCGGGGGCACATGGGGGCCCTGTGGGCGTGTAGAAAAGCGCAGTGCACTTCGTATACGACTGATTCTACGAGACTTTACGGGCGGGACCCTGAAGCTCCCTCAAGTCCCGGGGGGGCGCAAGGGGCCCCATGTGCACTGGGCGAGGCCCCGTGACACCCGCAAACGATCGAAATGAAACTACGGGCGGACCCCTGTGAAACCGTATGGGCGGGACTATATGGCACGCAAAAACTCTTGGGGGCGCAAGAGACCCGATGGGTGAGACCTTGGAGAGTCCCAAAGGGCGGGACCCTGCGGTACCCAAGTATTCCCAGGATCATTGGCCAGGTCTAAGAGATCAAGCGCGACAGCCCAAGCGCAAGCACTTCTTGGGAATTAGGAAAGAGCGCCCAAGTGCAACCACTGCGGGGGGGGGTAACTAGTTATTGAAAGTCAGATCAAATATGCGATGGCCTTGTATCAGGTTAGCTTGGGCCCTTGAAGGCCTCGTAAGATTTCATGGGGCTGGCCGAGGCGTCTTCTTTGTTACTCGTACATTTGTATGTGCACACAGCCCGCGCCAAACGACCAGCTTACGCCACGTATAGTTCCCGGATGGCGATGGAAGCTAATCAGAGCCCCGATGTACCTTCGAACAAGAACTCAGACAGCAAGTAGCGGCCTTAAGGCCTATACAGGAGGATACATACGAAGGCAAGACGGATGAGGACGCTGAGGAGGATTAGGAGGAGCATGAGGATACTGATAATGGTTTGTATGATGGAGGGGGAGAGGCGGAGAAGTGGAATTTATCACTAGGTAAACCTAGGCCTCCCAGGTCCCTTAAGACCGCTGGAGTGCCCTACGGCACTCTGGTGCCCTTAGGAGTCAGTCAAGGGCATGTGGGGCCACACAAGACTTCCATATGCCTTCCTGGTGCCCATTGAGACAAGCTTGGGTTCCTTAGGGCCCGCTGTCGCTCTCGGTGTCCGCTAAGGCATTTGAAATGCCATTCGTCATCTCAAAGTCCCTTAGAGTCTTCCTGTTCCTGATGAGACATTGTAAGCTAGTTGTGAAGTCCCTCATTGTTTGTTTCAAGCCTGTAAGACCCTTGGGAACCCGGCCACACCTTCACAATAATCGCAACGCACCTGAATTTATACCGAAACACTTGTACAGGAATGACAGTTTGAGGCCCTTTACGTCCTTGAGTGCCTCTGAGTACGCCTTTACGTTTTGTTTTGGCGTCTCAGGGGCCCTTGAGGCAAACATGCTTGAACCCCTTGATGCAATTTCATGGCCCTTACGGGGTGAACTATGTGCACTGAAAGCCGTCTAAGACCCCGTGAAGTTCGTCAAAGGCCGCTCAGGTTTTTGACGGGCTCTGGAAGCCTTGCAAAGCAACGCAGGGCGGTTGCCAGTGAAGCCGCGTAGTATGGAGACCTAGCCACATTTCCGCAGGAACGAAACACCTTCAGCTGACAAAGGGAAGTCGTAAGTGAATGGGGGGCTTAACTATTTCCACGCTTTCCCCTCCAGCTGCATCGCATAATGTTCTCAAAGGCGTTCGCCTGATCGCTTGGTTTCTGGGAAGATTCCGTGCACGGATTCTGCCAAATTGTGCACGGAGTAACATCAAGCGAGTCCTCAGCACCGCGTCTCCCTTCTTGACGTGGGCGGCGGGGGCAACCGTCAGGAGGACCGAAGAAAGGCAGATCAGCCTGACACCGAAATTTCTCCTATTGAAAGAAACGTGGATCTTGGGGTGTGGGCCTTGACGATTTCCATTCCTTGCTGGAATGTGGTGATACCACGGGCGACGTGAAAGAGGTCTTAAAGCAAAAACCTCCGTGAATGGGATATGACGGGAATTTAACATTCGATCAGGATCCTAGTGGCAACTGTTTGACGGCTCTTTCGCTTTGAGTGTATTGAGCGGGCTTTATCTTTCAAGAGGTGGTTCAGTTCTTCAAGGAGATGATGTACTTCAAAACTGATAGGCGGGATGGTGCCTAAGCTGTACTGCTCCTCCAGGTTATCATGGTCACATCTTTGCGTGAAGTGTGGTATGAACCAGCTGTATTGAGATACATCGTGGCCGCACGTAGCCAATACCGTCTTGCTAGGGCGCGTGCCCCAGTCCTCTGGCGTCTCTGCTTTTTCGAGTCGCTTGCCTCGCGGTGCCTGGAAGTTGCGAACAATCTCCAGCGCTATTTTTTCGATTCGCTAGTGCGCTGGGACTCGCGGAGAAGTTGTGCTCACGTTGTGCCCCTGCGACGGTGTACTGACTGGCCTTGTACAGCGGCCAGCGTTCGTACCCGAAGTGAACAGAACAGTCGCCTAACCTAGTGATTTCCAGTGGCCCTTCGAGTGGGTGTCGCTGGTGCGCTTGCAGTGTTTTTTTTGTCCGAGCGCAATACGGGACTATTAGCGAGGGGTCACCGCTGCAGCCGAGTAGCGAATGCGGTACCTCCTCTGCCTGGAGCGGGCCTGGGGCGGGGAAGGTCGAGGAGGAGGAGGAGGAGAAGGAGGAGGAGGAGGGATGAGGAGGCGGAGGAGGAGGAGGAGGAGGAGGAGGAGGAGGAGGAGGAGGAGGAGGAGGAGGGATGAAGAGGAGGGATGAGGGGGCGATCTACCTACGGGTGCCTCCACGTCAAAGGGATGGACAAAACAGGGGCGGGCACACGGCTCTCAACAAGGCTTATGCTTGTGTAGGGCTCCAGAGGGGCCGTGCGTGAGGGGGCCGAGAATGTATCCACTGCCTCTGTGCGCTGTTGTGCATATCCGCCACCCCGCTGTGGGGTGAGGAGGGGGGGCAGGGGGTGGGGTCAGTCAGGGAGGTCATGGGCCATCTTGAGGCTTCGTCGGACGGCGACAAAAGCGAGGAAGTGTTCAACTCATTTGACAGCCGTTCTTTTCACGTGCACTCGGTCCCTCGGGGGCCTCCTTGGGAGGCTCGGTGGGCCACTCCAGCGCCATCCTGGGGCCTGTTTGGTTCTGCAGAGGCATGCTGGAGGCCACATGGGCCTCTTCAGCTATCCTATGCGATCTTGGAGGCAGTATTGGGAGATCTGGGCCTGGAGCCGTCCTGGACACTCTGACGACCCACGGCCCCCCCTGTCCACACGGGGGAGGCTTGCCCCTCCCCGAGGACGGAGAAGGGGTTGTTTGGGCGAGTTGGCCCTCCAATCTATGCCATGAGGGCTGGCGGGACAGTGACTATGATCGAGGAGCCGCCGTGTTCCACCCTCCAGTTTGAGGACGTGCTGGCGAGAGAAAGGACGCAGGGGAGGATGTTAGCTGAGGTGGTACGGACGGGGACTTACGATCGAGGAGCTGCCCTGTTCCATCCCTCAGTGCGAGGACAAGCTGGCGACAGCAAGTGACGCAACCAGAAGCCACTGGTGTCGCAGCAGGCTGGCCGCCCTGCCAAGAGAGGCATGCGGAGGAGTCCCACCTGCGGGGCCCGTGAAGCGGGCACCTTTTTGTAGCTGCCCCGCTCCGCACCTCCGTGCCGAGGAAGCGCCGGCGGTAGAAAGCGGCGCAGCCAGACGCCGTTGATACCGCAGCAGGCCGGTCGCCTTGTGTATTCGCGCGCCGAATTCGTTTTTCCTTGTAAATTTGCATGCCGATAATAATTTTTCCATGTGTTTTTTTGTTATACTTGGAAGGTTGTGTCCTCTGCCGCAGGCCTCCTGGACTGACACATCTTCGGTCTACTTTGCGGCCGTGTATTGGTTCTTGGGGCCTCTCGGGGGCATCTTGGGGCTTGTGTTGGAGCCTCCTGGGGTCATCTTGGGGCCTCGTGGATGTATCTTGGGGCTGTGGGACTTGGCGAGCCATCTTCGGCGGTCTGGGCTCCATCCTTGCGGCTGTCTTGGGCAGTCTTGGGGAAGTCTTGGGGTTTCTTGCCAGCCAGACTCAGACATGCTTGTGTTGTGTGAGCGTCGCGTCGCTTCCGCACGGGCGATGCGCACACTGAAACATTTTGGTGACAGGCATAGTGGCCGGTGCGGTCTTGGCGTGCTGCTTGGGTAAGTGCATGCCAGAAGATGCTGGTACTACACGTTCTGGTCGAACATGCGGGTCCATCGGGGGCGCACAGTACTAGTTTTTCTTTCTGTGCCCCATTTTGGAGCCGTCTTGAAGCCCTGTTCGGACATCTCAGTAGCGAATCAGCACACAAACATCATTGAACACATTCAGTATTCCAATGTTTTGGGTGCCCTCTCGGGGCCATCCTGGGGCCTCTTGGCGGATTCCTGAGGGCATCCTTGAGCCATCTCTGGCCGTTGTGGGCTCTTGGGTCCCTCTTCCGGGCCTCTCGGGGCCGTGCTGGAGGCCTCTTTGGCCGGTGGCGCCCCTGTGGGGGTCTTGGGTTCGCTAGGGCGGCCCGCTGGCTGAGGCCTCCCCCCATGGTGGCCTCTTTTGGCGCCGTGGGCTCTTTTGGTAGCCAACAGGGGTGAACGAGAGACTTGACGACACACACACATATACATATATGTGTGTGTATACACACATATATATATATATATGTTGCATATATATATGTGCATCTGAACATACAGAGAGATAGAGATCGAAGATGCGTGACGACATAGATGCATCAGTCCAGCAAGGGACTTTATAGCACGGCGCCCTCAGAAGGGTGCTGCCGGATTTGGAGTGGGCACGTTGTATTTCGTTCTGCGTTCTCCGTGTGGCTAGCGCAGCAAGTCATGATACATTCATGATGCAAGCGATTCAGATGCTGCAGCTGCTGATTCATACTATGGGGATGGTTCGAGAGTGCGAGAACCTCACTCAGGATGTGGAACAACATCGCAGCGCCGTCAACAAGACAAGAACGCGGCCAGAGCTCCCGACACCATCTTTGCGCGGGAAGGGGAGGAGAAGGATGAGAAGGATGAACAGGATGCTGAGTAGGAGGGTGGATGGATGGATGGATGGAGGGAGGGAGGGAGGGAGGAATGGAGGGAGGGAGGGAGGGAAGAGGAGGATAGGAGGAGGATGAGGAGGGGGAGGAGGATCTAGAGGATGATGATGAGGATGAGGAGGAGCCTGGAGGTATCCGAGAGGCTTTTGGAAGTTCAAAAAATGCCAGACGCGCAATATGTTGGTATTGGAGGATTGAGGATCCGCCTGAGTGCAAGGGGCCGAATCGTGGCCTTCAATCGCCCGCTCTGGTTGTTTCTTCTGCGACGTTGCGGGGTCAATTCGTTTCGTCATCGTCGCCGCCGCCGTCGCCGTCGCCGCCACCGTCGCCGTCGCCGCCGCTGTCGCCGTCGCCGTCGCCGTCGCCGTCGCCGTCGCCGTCGCCGTCGCCGTCGCGGTCGCCGTCGCCGTCGCCGTCGCCGACGTCGTCGCCGTCGCCGTCGCCCTCGCCGTCGCCGTCGCCGTCGCCGTCGCTCTCGTCGTCGCCGTCGCCGTCGCCGTCGCCGCCGCCGCCGCCGTCGCTGTCGCCGTCGCCGCCGCCGTCGCCGTCGCCGTCGCCGTCGCCCTCGCCGTCGCCGTCGCCGTCGCCGTGGCCGTCGCCGTCGCCGCCGCCGTCGCCGTCGCCGTCGCCGCCGCCGCCGCCGTCGCCGTTGCCGTTGCCGTCGCCGTCGCCGTCGCCGTCGCCGTCGCCGTCGCCGTCGCCGTCGCCGTCGCCGCCGCCGTCGCCGTCGCCGTCGCCGTCGCCGTCGCCGTCGCCGCCGCCGTCGCCGTCGCCGTCGCCGTCGCCGTCTCCGTCGCCATCGCCGTCGCCGTCGTGCTGTCGCCGTCGTCGTCGTCGTCGTCGTCGTCGTCGTCGTCGTCGTCGTCGTCATATTCGTCGTCGTCGCCGTCGCCATCGCCGTCGCCGTCGCCGTCGCCGCCGCCGTCGCCGTCGTCGTCGTCGTCGTCGTCGTCGTCGTCGTCGTCGTCGTCGTCGTCGTCGTCGCCGCCGCCGTTGCCGTCGCCGTCGTCGTCGAGGTCGTCTTTGCCGTCGTCGCCAGAGGGTTGTTACGCTCATCACTTTCTGGGCCTTCTAAGGTGCCTTCGTGGGATTGGCAGGAATATGTCGTGCTCGATTCTGAATCCCATGCCATCCATATATTTTCCTCGTCACCTCAATATCCTGCACCTCGCAGGAGCCGGAGCAGGAAATGGAACATGAGGAGGAGAGTGATGATGATGAGGAGGAGGAGGACGATGAGGAGGAGGCGGGATAAACGCAATAATAATGGTATGAATAAGTGAGGAGGGCGGGCAGGAGAAGGAGAAGGAAGATGGAGAGGATGAGGAGGAGAGCGACGATCAGGAGGAGGAGGAGGAGGAGGAGGAGGAGGAGGAGGAGGAGGAGGAGGAGGAGAGGAGGAGGAGGAGGAGGAGGAGGAGGAGGAGGAGGAGGAGGAGGAGGAGGAGGAGATGGAGGAGGAGAATGAGGAGGAGGAGGGGGAGGAGGACGAGAAGGACGAGGAGGAGAGGAAGTGAGGAGGATGATCAGGAGGGAGGAGGAGGAGGAGGGAGGAGGAGGAGGAGGAGGAGGAGGGATGAGGAGGCGGAGGAGGAGGGGAGGAGGAGGAGGAGGAGGAGGAGGAGGAGGAGGACGAGGAGGAGGAGGAGGAGGAGGAGGAGGAGGAAGGAGGAGGAGGAGGAGGAGGAGGAGGAGGAGAGGAGGGAGGAGGAGGAGGAGGAGGAGGAGAGAGAGGAGGAGGAAGAGGAGGAGGAGGAGGAGGAGGTGGCGGAGGAGGAGGAGAGCGAGGAGGAGGAGGAGGAGGAGGAGGAGGAGGAGGGAGGAGGAGGAGGAGGAGGAGGAGGAGGAGGAGGAGGAGGATGAGGATGAGGATGAGGATGAGGATGAGTAGGAGGATGAGAGGGAGGGCGAGCAGGCAACATAGGAGAAAAATAAGGTGGACTGGGGAGCGTGCTGCTGCTAATGCTCGAATTTTCCTGCGAGGAGATACCCTACGAGAGCATCTCCCAACAGTTCCGCGCCACTTTGCTCCCAGAGATGTTGAAGGCGGACGTCTGGATGTGCTCGATCCCAGGAGCCGCGCGCACTTCGTTTTTCTTCCCCGCGTCCTCGTCTTGGTGGTGGTCGTCGTCGTCGTCGTCGTCGTCGTCGTCTTATTATTCCTCCTCCTCTTGTTTGTCCTGTTTCCGTACCCCTCTGGCTCAAGCCGCCTGGCTCTCTGGTGCCGCCCTGCGCCGCCGTCAGCGGCTGGTGGCGGCGAGGCGGGCCGCCACGCCGGGGCTTGGCGGGCTGCCGGGGCTTGCCGCCGCCGCCGCCGGCCCGCCGCCGTCGGAGGCGGCCGGCGGCCGCCACCGCTCGGCCCCCGCGGGCGCCGCCTGCGCCGCCGGCGCCTGTGGCGCCGCGGGCGCGGCTGGCGCCGCGCTGGCCGCTTGCCCTGCCGCCGCCGCTGCCGACGCCGCTCCTGGCTCCTCGCCGGTGGCGGCGGCGGTGGTGGGCGCGGTGGCCGGCGCCGGCGCCGCCGCCCCCGCGGCCGCCGGCGCCGCGGTCGCCGCCGCTGCCGCCCGCCGCCGCCACCGCTGCGGCCGCCGCCGCTGGCTCCCCTCCGGCGGCGGCGCCGGTCGGCGGCGCCGCGGCCGGCGTCGCGGCCGCCTCGCCTGGCGCGGACGGCGCTGCTGCTGCTGCTGGTGCTGCTGGCGGCGCCGCCGGCGCCGCCGCGGCGGCGGCCGCCGCTGCCGGGGCGTTCCCTGCCGGCCCGCCGCTGCCCCTCGGGCCGCCGCGGCGGCCGCCTGCGTCGCCGCCGCCGCCGCCGGCGAGGCCGCGGCCGCGGGCCTCTGGGTGGCCGTGGCGGCCCTGGCCCGCGCCGCTGGCCTCGCCGCCGGGGCCGCCGGCAGCGGCGCCGCGGCCGCGGCGGCGTCTGCCGCGGCCGGCCGCGCGGCGTCTGCGGCGCCGGCCGCGCCTGGGCCCTGGGGCGTTGGGGAGGAGGTCGAGGACGTGGTGGACGTGGAGGACGTGGTAGAGTACGAGGTTGTGGAGGACGCGGAGGACGATGTAGTCGAGGTTGTGGAGGAAGTGGAGGACGTGGAGGGCGCGGTGGAGGGGGCGGTGGAGGACGAGAGCGTGGACGAGGACGAGGCCGAGGAGGCGGAGGAGGCGGTCCAGCGCGAGTCGGGCGTGCAAGATCCCGCGGGCTCCGGAGGATTACATGATCTGGGACCTTGTGTCCCACCTGTGCCCATCGGCACCTCTCCCGTCGCGGGGCCAGAATTCATTATTTCGAAGCGGATCCTGCCGTGGTGACCAGGGCGAGACACGGCCATCCAGAGTATCCTGCCACTGTTGAGATGAGGCCCGCGAGGCCAGAAGGGTCTCCAATCGACGCCCCGTGACGACGACAGACGACCATCCGGAGGATTACATGATCTGGAACTTTGTGTCCCACCTGTACCCATCGGCGCCTCTCCCGTCACGGGGCCACGAACTCATAATTTCGAAGCGGATCCTGCCGTGGTGACCAGGGCGACAGACGACCATCCGGAGGATCCTGCCACCGCTGCAAACCGTGGTGTCTCGAGCCCCAACCCCTTCCCCGACGACCGCCTGGAGCGCGGGCCACCTCGACGCCCAGTGGCGACGACAGACGACCATCGGGAGGGCGAACAAGGAAGACGTGACGCTTATCCCCACAACGGGAACTCCGACCCCGCCACGAGACCGCACCCTGGACCGGACCGTGGTGACGTCGACGAACCCCCAGTCCCGATGGACAACGCAGAACCGCCGCTCAGTTCATCTCGCGCGGCGATCCTGAGCTATCACGCCACAGCAGCTGCGCC